ACAGTTTTTATAGTTTAGGACATCATTTAATTGTATATATCCATAGTTGTTCACTGGGACGATGCGTAACAATTGTGAACTGAGTGAACGTACTTAAGGTCCTTTCTCTAAATAATCCCTAATTTTTGTACCTAATATCTTTTTGCTTATAATGCATCTTTAATTCATTTATTCGTTAATTCATTTTTTCATTCATTTGTTTAGGTTCCTTGAATGAAATTTCTTTGTAAATCAGTCCATAGACTGATGCATTCAACAATTTACATAGTTGCATATCTAAAAATTATCTAAAGATGACAATACATTCTCCAAAGGAATGCAAGGTACAACAAATTAGAAATGAAAAAGAATTGTTAAACATGTTGCACCTCGAATTGATAATAAACATAAACAAATATGTTTCAATGATAAAGACAGAAAAAGAGAAATGAGAATTGAAAAACTGAGGAAGACGACAGAGAGAAGAGAAGGGATCTATTGAGAAAAGTTAAAATTGGAGTGTGCCATTTCATTTGCTCGTGTCTTATATTTGAATCATAATGCAAGCGACAAAATGATTATTTTTGAAATATTGGGTATGTATATAGTTAAGAATACATATATAAATACCTGAACTATGGTAAACAGACTGAACATGACAATGAAATAGAAACCAATGATTTAGCTTCAACTATACATCCAGTCTAACATCGTCACACTATTCTGGAAGCAAGGAATCACCCGCTGTATAAAGGGGGAAAAGAAATATTATTTTAGTCTATAATCCAAAGATGTTAAAATAACACAGATATGTGTTGAATTTCATGATCAATTTAAACTCAAATCACTCATTTAAGTACTAATTGTGTTAATGTTACATTGATGTGCTTTATAGTTGACTAAGAAGTTTAGTGTAAATGTACAAAATGTTTGAGCAAATATTTGTCACCTTATGTACAATGAAGTTTACAAACTTTGATATGCTTTATGTTTGACTAAGAAGTTTAGTGTAAATGTACAAAATGTTTGAACAATTATTTTGTCACATATAATGTATACAATGAACGAGATTTAAGTGTACTTATTAAGAACTCATTTGTATCCTTTAATTGGAAAGGAAATCAATGTATTATATACTTTAGTTTCTAATGCATGCTGTAGTTTATCTTATTAGTATGCATTGAAGTTAATTCCCCTTACTAGGTTTAAGATTCTTTCATAGTAGATTAATTAACTTTCTTTATTATATTTGTTAAAAGTATAGATGCATCCCAATGTTATTCGCTATAAAAGCATGATTATTATTATGGAATTATGTCAGTTATCATATTCCATTCAAATTATGTTACGAATTTCATGTTCAATTTCATTATATTTTCTTAAAGGGGATAGAATAAATAAACTGATATATGAATTTGATCACTGAAATTTCCAGAAAGCTGTTCTTTGTCCTGTGTCATTAGTGTGAGAAAAAAAATCTAGAAGAAGTGAAAGACCGAGAAATAAAAAGTATTGATTTTAGAGAATCCATGTAGGAGGTATATAGAAGCTTTAGTTGATGATATTCTTATGATATTATGTGAGCGGTTATAACGACAAGCGTGAATGTCAGCCATCAGGAAGAAGAGGGGAGAGGGTAGGGGGTTAAGTTCAAGGAGTTAGAGAGGAGGAAAGGAAGGGAGAGGTTAGACGTATATTGTGTGTTTTAATAAAAACTCATAATTTCAATCATGTATAATAAAATGTTAAAATATTAATTTTTGTTGTTAAAGTATTTAGTTTTATTCTGGAAAAAAAAGCGATGCTGATTCAGATTTTGGAATGAAAATAACTGGAGTTTTGAGAAATAAATTCAATAAATACAAAAAGTAAAGACTCTCCTTCAAATTATTTGTCGAACTGTCTTCAGCATTATTTGCATCTAACGACATACAGTCTCGTTTATGACTTTTCATCAAATACTGAGGGCCTTTAAACTCAATCTACTTGCCTTTTCTTCGTCATTGACAAAAGGATATTAACTTTTCCTACTCTGGCCAAAATTTTCCAGTAAGTTGCTGATTTTGTTATCAATCTCGTCTAATAAAAAGCAGAAAATTCAGAGAAGCATACTTTTGGAACTTTGAACAAAATCGGACAAATAAGTTATGAATTTTTAAAAGTTGTATATAAAAGGAATTTCAAATGGGCTTAATCGGTAATCTCACTGTGATGCCTCCCCATTTGTTCTAACAACCAAACTATCTAAAATATTTATGCGTTTATTTTTTTTTTTTCTTCAAAATGTAGGACTCGAGAGGGTCTCTTCTCTCTAGAGGACATACGATATTATGCTATATTTTGAGGAGTGCCCCAAGGGAGAAGGGACTTTCACGTTGGGAGAAAAATTCTAGAAATTGATATTTTATTACACGACAAACGGAAGAGTTGTCCATGAAAACGTCACAATCCACTGACCAAATAGCCCGTTTGAGATTCGCATAGCTTTAGGGATCTCATTTGTCAAACATTCACAACTGTCTCATTATTGGTCCGTTTTTATTTCAAATTTCGTCAATCTGATTCTGAACTTATTACAAAAAGATTGGAGTGCCCTTTAATACTGTAACTAATCGCATAATAGTCTCGTATGGATCCTCACAAAGAGCTACCAATTAAGAGAGGAAGCTGAAATTAGATCAGTGTTTTTCAACCTGTTTCTTTTTTGTCACGGCACCCTTTTAAAAAATCAAAAAATTCGGGCCACCCCGATCCCAAATTCATCACAGGACATTCACTGTAAGTATCTGAAGAGCATTCTCGAGCAAACTATCTCCTTATAATTTGATATCTCACGTTCATCTTTCTAGGGAACCTACGCCCTCAAGTCATAAATGACAGTAATGAGGATTAATGCCCCACAAAAGGGCACCAATATAGCACATCGACACGGTTTTGATCCTGGGGCCTCACAGTTACGAGGCCATTGTTTTGTCACTGAACTATGACTGTACGCAGCGGGGGCTAGGGTAGGGGCAGTTTACAAAAAAAAAAACCCCAAAACAGAAAATGCAATAAATTGTCAATAATTTATTGCCTTTTACCCCGGTCCCCAACATAAAAAAATCCTCTGGACGGCCATGCATTATGGCTCAAGGCATGGGCGCACAGAAGATTTTTTTATGTTGGGAATCGGGGTTGCATTTTCTGTTTTGTTTTTTTAATTTATGGAAACTGCCCCCTACCCTAGCCCCCGCTGCGCACAGTCATGGTTCAGTGACAAAACAATGGCCTCGTAACTGTGAGGCCCCAGGATCAAAACCGTGTCGATGTGCTATATTAGTGCCCTTTTGTGGGGCATTAATCCTCATTACTGTCATTTGTGACTTTAGGGCATAGGTCCCCTAATTAATAAGCATTGTAGCATACACATGCTTTAGCAGTCACGCAAAACACACATTGGAAAATTATTATTCAATAAAATCTGAGAATGTATTCTATTATCTAGATCTATTATTTTTAAATTATTTTAAAAATGATTCCATAAATTGGGATAAAAAAAATATTCCACCTTTATGAGCGACAGTGTATATCAGATAAATGTTCTATTATAATCTTGAGTTATTTATTTTTGTTTTGTTTATTTAGATCTTACGCCTTCTCAAGTCTGGCAAGAAAATTGCCAAACAAATTGGAAAGAAGAATTCATAATACAGCGGCGGGTGAGCCTGCATGTCTTAATTGAAAGGGGGGGGGGGGCGAAATTTAACTTAATTTGTCGAACTCGACATTATTTCTTAAATTTCGTCATCCCTTCCAATCCCAAGGTCTCTCAGTCAGGGAAGGGGGGGGGGGGGGTACGTAACATTCTATTGGGGGCGGCGGACCCCAACAATCTCCAGACTATTTAGTACACACTTAGCAGACAGACAGAGTAGGAGTTATTTGAACAATAGCTAACACAATGCGTTCACATTCCTCGATCATGAGTATCAGTTTCAGTTTCGATTTATTGGTCATGCACGAAATCAAAAGTACAATTGGCATACAAATCGTTCGCTGGCTGTTCCATAAAAATACAACGTGTCAAACAAACATAATTTTAACATAGAATCACATAAGAGAATGAAAAATAACAAATACATACATATAAGACATAAATGATTTAACATAGCAATACATGTACATGACATGGTAAAAAGGAAATAGAAAACACACCGCAGCTATAGAGACAACAAACCCCAGTAGAATACATTACATGGACAGGGCAACCAGAAAACAAAGCAGATATTTAGAAAAATGGAGAAGCAAAGGAAATAGGAAAAAGGAAATTGTAAGTAAAGGAAATAGGAACAAGGAAATTGTAGGGAGAATGAGAGAAAGTCGAAGGGAGCAAGAATTTAGCAGAGATGAGGTAAAAATGAAAACATGGAGAAAGATTAGGATGTGAGAGATCAGAATGGAAGAAAAAGAGATGAAGGAAAGGAAAAGAGAAGTGAGATGAGAATTGCAAGATATACGTGATACAGCATTTTGACATTTCTTACAAAATACTTAGAAATTTCACCAGCTTGAGTTTCAATGTGCACATCCCACATTGAATAACAGATAAGTTGGAACGCGTAACTGGCATAATTAAGCGAATTATACAAATAGATATGACCGTAATCAAGCAGTACAAAGGTTAAATCATTTATACTTCTTCCTGTTATGAATGCCAGTGGGAATTCCCACACGATAACACAACATCATACTCATAAAAGCAGCTTTGCTGAATGAAGCATTACCATACGCCTCTTACTGAAAGCATATATTCGCCGTTCGAAATAATTCGTAAGGTAAGTTCTAAAGTAGAAGTGTAAAGTAATTTCATGATGTTGGACCGGGTAAGCCCTATTAATCATGTATCGCATTATATTGTTTACATCTTCTTCGCAATGCTAGTCATGTTTACAAAACATACGCCACTTTCTATTGAGTTTTAACATTTAATTCACCAATGCGCTTTTTTCACAGGTCGTGTGTTTGAGTAGTCAACAATGATGGCTACTTCCTTGAAGCAGGCTGTCGATAAGAACTTGGAATGTCCTGTCTGTCTGAGCTTCTTCAAGGACCCCAAGATCCTGACCTGCTCCCATACCTTTTGCAAGGACTGTCTTGAGACTCTTCTAGAGTCTCATCGGAAGCTGTTGTGTCCTACGTGCAGGGAGGAGACTTCGGTTCCTGGCGGAGACGTGGGTAGACTGCAGTCAAACATAACAGTCAGATCACTTGTTGAAGATGTGGAGACCCAGGGCCAATCCAACTATAATCAAGAAGACAAATGTAAAAAACATCCGAACCAAGATGAAGACTGTTTTTGTCTTAACTGTAAAAAGTATGTCTGCTGCAAGTGTGCCATATCAGAGCATGTAAAGAATGCTCACACTATCCTGGAAGCATGCGAACATGAAAAGAATAACATCGAGAAACTTGCATCTAAAGCGAATGCAAAGATACGCAACGTTGAAAAGTATGTTACATTCGTTGCAGACAAGCGTAAAAGGGTGCATAACGTACACGAACAACTCAATGATGAAATAGATGATACGTATAAGGAATCGGTTCAGAAGTTAAAGAAAATAAGGACGGTGTTGAAAAATGAAGTCGGGCAAAAGCTAGGTCAACTTGAGACTTCATTGGGAGACATGGAGGAGTCAGGTCGTAAACAGCTAGACCAGATTAAGACAGCTCGGGACTTGGTTAAGAATGGTCTTCATATTCCTCTCCAGACAGAGGCTTTGACCTCACATAAAGCGAAGTGTCAAACGCTGGAAGAGCTTCTAAGCCAGATTGGGCCAGATGTGGAGCTGCCCAGAAGAACTGCTGAGGAAGGTGAAAGAATCGGGTTCAGGAGTCTGGGATCGGATGGACTCCAGTTGGGCCAGCTAAGACAAAAGGAGTCCAAATTGATGTACAGGGAAGCTCCGCTGCCTGCTGGAAATACCATGGACGGAATGGCAATATCACCAAATAATGAGATGGCCGTTGGTTGTAAAACGGGAGGAATAGTCTTGTATTCTTCTGAGGGCATCATACAAAATACCGTTCTGAAATCTGTTCAAGTTAATGCACTACACTTCATGCCTGATGGTGGATACGTCATACGCGACTCTAATAACAAAATTGTCTTGCACACCGAGCTTCGTGAAAAGCTTGATGTAACGTTTGAGACAATTGATGTTGCGAAAGGTGGATGGCTTGGTGGTCTCACTGTAGACAAGGATGGGCTGATCTTCATAGCTTACAATACATGCAAGAAAATACAGGTATTTAAGCCAGAAGGTGGGAAGGCAATTAGAGAGATAAAGTGTAACAGATTTGAACCATGGCAAATGTCTGCGATGAAATCAAGTCAAGCGATTGTCGTTAAGAATGGTTGGGATACGGTACATGTGATCAACGATGTGTCTGGTGCTATCATTCATAGTATCAGCAAGGATGATGATGATGAAGACTCTTACCCTGCTGTGTGTCAGGATGATTCAGTTATCATTGCATGGGTTAAGCACGATCAGGGTCTGTTGAACATCATTCAGTACACAAATGAGCTCAAATACATCAAAAACATTCTCACTGACTTCAAGATAATCAAACCAAATCGAGATTGGTACTATTTACATGCATTCAAGACGGGAGAGATTGCTTTCTGCACTTCTAATAGATTTTACATCTTCCATGAGACGTGGAAGTAAATTTCAGTTTGCATTCGAAACTTGATGTTTCATCGAATATCGGAACTTTAAAACTCCCGGATGCAATCATTTCAGTGCTTTGTAAACAAGTCTGTGCAGAAATGTGATTTAAATCAAAGAGTAGGTCTAGACTCCACTCTATAATAATGCTATCATAATGTTGGCCAATTTCATTATGCTGTACGTTGGCTGTAGGTAGATAATCAAGATCAAAGACGGGGAGGGGAGGGGGTAGCACACCTTCTAATCTACGGAAAGCATACATTGCAAATATAATACACAGTCATGCATTCCCCCTAATATGGAGCAGCTGCCTCCTTCCAATGCTATTTGTAATACTCATAAGATTCTCTAATACATGTATAAGTGTTCATGGTCGTGACATCGTAAGCAAATTATTGTTTTCAAAATACAATGTATTACAATGTATCTGAAAATGTTTGTTTTTAAAATATATGCAAGATACTTTACTAGGCAATCAATTAATTTATAAGTTGGTAATGATGGAGAAGGCATAATTCTATATACATTTATTTTTTGTTCTTTGTTTCAAAGACATTTTTGATAATGTAGGACATCATTTATTTTTGTCATAGTTGTTTACTGGAAAAATGCGTAAAAATTGTGAATTGTGTAAACGTTCTAAATGGCCTTTCTTTGTACAATCCCTAATTCCCGTACATTCCTCTATCTCTTTTTGCTTCATGTGCATTTATAATTTAGTCATTCATTCGGCTAGGTTTATTGAAAGAAAGTTCCTTGTAAATCAGTCCAAAGACTGATGCATACACAATTTTCATAGTTTTATTGTTCAAAATTATACAAAGAATACATTACATTCACCAACATTGACTAGGAACAAAAAAAATTGGATAAGAAATGAAAAAAAAGTTGTTAAACATGTTGCACCTCAAATTGATAATAAAAACACCCCCCCCCTCCCAAAAATTTAAAAAAAATAAATAAAATGGGATTATAAAGACAGAGAATGGAAAAAGAGAATTGACAAGTTGGGGAAAACGACAGAGAGAAGAGAGGGAGAAAGATGAGGGATCTGTTGAGAAAAGGTAAAAATTGAAGAGTGCCATTTCATTCGTTCATGTTTTACATTTGAATCCTAATACAAGAAACAGCATTTTTTAATCTTTGAAATATTGGGTTATGAATACATATATAAATACCTATACTATGTTCATAGGTAAGCAGACTGAACATGACAGTAAAATAGAAACCAATAATTTAGCTTTAACTATCATGTCTTACATCGTCACACTATTCTGGCAGCAAGGAATCAACCGCTGTATAAAGGGGGAAAAGAAATATTGTTTTAGTCTATAGTCCAAAGATGTGAAAAAACACACATATGTGTTGAATTTCATGATCAATTTCAATTCAAATTACTCATTTAAAGGTAAAGACCAGTATTGGAAACGCCCCAATTTAAAAAAAAAATGAAATGGAAGCTCTTATTACCAATCATGTGAAAGAATATGTTTTGAATATTACATGATGATAAAATTTGTGACGGGCAACCGCCTGCCTACTAATTTATATATTTGGTAAATTAGTGTATCTCTCGCCTGTTGAGAGATATGAAATGCACGTGTCGCGCACGTGTGTGTAGTCCCAAATACATCTTTCTGTGTACAGTGCTTCTAACTTCATGAAGACTTGGCCAAATTTCTTATCATTTTAATGATTCCAGAACCTTGCAGTACATCTATGCTATAGATGATCAACCTTTTCTGATCGATTTCACAACGTTTCTTTCACAATGCAATCGCATGACCATAACTGGTCTTAAGCTTTAAGTATTAAATGTGTTAATGTTATATTGATATGCTTTATGTTTGACTAAGAAGTTAAGTGTAAAAACTGTAAATGTACAAAATGTTTGAACAATTATTTGTCACATATAATGTATACAATGAAGTTAACAAACGAGATCTAGTGTACTTATTTAGAAATCATTTGTATCCTTTAATTGGAAAGGAAATCAATGTATTAAATACTTAGTTTCTAATGCATGCTGTAGTTTATCTTATTAGTGTGTATTAAAGTCAATTCCCCCTTACTAGGTTTATGATTCTTTCATAGTAGATTAATTAACTTTCTTTATTATATATTTTAAGAGTATAGATACATCCCAATGTTATTCGCTATAAAAGCATGATTATTATTATGGAATTATGTCAGATATCATCTTTCATTCAAATTATGTTACGAATTTCATGTTCAATTTCATTATATTTTCTTGAAGGGAATAGAAGAAATAAACTGGAGTTATGAATTTGATCACTGAAATGTCCAGAAAGTTGTTCTTTGTCCTGTGTCATTGGTGTGAGAAAAAAAATCCAAAAGTAGTGAAAGACCGAGTCATCAAAAGTATTGATTTTAAATAATCCACTCAGGAGCCAGAAGGTATATAGAAGCTTTTGTTGATGATATTCTTATGATAGTATGTGAGCGGTTATAACGGCAAGCGTGAATGTCAGCCATCAGGAAGAAGAGGGGAGAGGGTAGGGGGATAAGTTCAAGGAGTTAGAGAGAAGGAAAGGAAGGGTGAGGGTTAGAGGTATATTGGGTGTTTTAATAAAATAAAAACTCATGATTTCAATCATGTACGTTAAAAAATATTAATTTTTTGTTGTTGAAGTATTTAGTTTTATTCTGGAAAAAAAAGCAATGCTGACTTTAGATTTTGGAATGAAAATTACTGGATTTTTAAGAAATAAATTCAATAACTACAAAAATTAAGGACTCTTCTTCTGAGTCTGCTAAACTGTCTTCAGCATTCTTTGTTTCTAAGGACATACAGTCTCGCTTCTAACTTTTCATCAAATACTGAGGGCCTTTAAACTCAATCTACTTGCCTTTCGTTCGTCATTGACAAAAGGATATTAACTTTTCCTACTCTCGCCAAAATTTTACAGGGACTAAATTCAGAGAAGCACACTTTTGAAACCGTCTTTGAACAAAATCGGACAAAAAAGTTATGAATTTTTAAAAGTTGTATAGTAAACTTCAAATTGGCTAAATAGGTTATTTCACTGTGATGTAGTGCCGGACGACTTTCTTTTTGTTCCAACAAAAATCTATCTAAAATGTTTATGTTTTTTTTTCTTTTTCTTCACAATGTAGGATTCGGGAGTTATTTTTCTTTCTAGAGGACATATGATATTATGCTATCCATAATATATTTGAGGAGTGCCCCGAGGGAGAAGGGTATTTCAGGTTTGGAGGGAAAAAATCCAGAAGTTAATGATATTTATTGCACGACAAACGGAGGAGTTGTCCATGAATACGTCACAATCCATTGACCAAATAGCCAGTTTGAGATTCGCAAAGCTTCAGAGATCTCATTTGTCAAACAATCACACCTGCCTTATCAGTTGTCCGTTTGATTCTACCTTTCGCCAATCTGATTCTGAATTTATTATAAAGATTGGATTAACCTTTAATACCACGTTTCTAAGCGCATAATAGTCCTGTATGGATCCTAACACAAATATAATTAGAACAAAATTGTATTGAAATTGTCTTTTTTAAATATTTTAGTCACTTCAAGGTACATTGATATATTTGTCAAATGATTCACGCACCAGTGAAGATGAACATTTGATTTGTGATCCCTGCAAAAGAATAATTTTGTAGAAATTTGTACCCCCTCCTTTTTTGATATATACTTGTATCAATACTTTATCTTTTACTTTTGGGTAGAGACTCTATGTCTCTGATACAAAGCTACCATACGTACATAGATCAGTCAGTATATTATGCAATCAAAGTGGGAAAGCCTTTGCCCCTTCCCAGTTTAGAGGACACACAAACCCCGCCCAAAGAATGGAAGAGTCCATGCAGGACACCATGTGAGGAGGGACTAAATGAGTGATTGTTATGACCATGTGCCATTCCGTCTTGACACTATAGCTGCTTCACAATCAACCACTTCTCCTCGTGTTATTTTATTGTAGGTAAGACAGTTTATTACTACCTTTTATATTATGTTAGTTTGTATACAATTATGATATTACACTCATTTAAATACAATCATTTAAATACAAGTTGTTCATATACCATGCATGTAATTCTTTATAATATGATGCGTTTTGGGAGATGGATATGTGAGAGTTGGATGAGCATGGCCATGAGTGTTCACTTCAGTTGGTATTTCGGATAGAATCTATTACATCTGTAATCACTGTTATTGCAACCCAAAGCTTGTTGGTATCATTTAGATAATGAAGTATAGAATATAAATTGATTTTAGTAGTTTGGATACATTAATGCTGGAAATGTACATATCGATAAACAGCTATATAAGTGTAGGCAAAGTTAAAGCGAATAATGATTTAGATGTGAATAGATCGTGGATCATAATTTATGATAGAGTGTGTTGTCTGCCAGGAACTCTCTTCTCCCTGGTGTCACCAAGTTGACATCGAATGTGAAAGTAGCTATAGTCATTTTGAGGTATATGTGAAGTTTGTGAACAAACCCATGCCATAGTTTTTGTCATGAGTAGTAGTGAGCGTGTCAGTGTGTTAAAGATGTAAACATTTCAGATGTAAAGT